GCCCCCGGACCCCTTCCCCCTCCTGGACCCCTTCCCCCTCGAAAAGGCCAGAAACGGGATGCACTGGTTGTCCTGGACCCCTTATGCACCCTTCCCCCCCGTCCTGGACCCCTTCGCCCTCGAAGAGCCCAGAAACCGGACAGAAACCGGATGCCTCGTCCTGGACACCCCCACCCAGACCCAGAAAACTGCAAACCAAAACACTGTTATGCATGACCTGGTTGTTGATAATTTGTATTTCATTGTGTGGGGTGTTATACTGGCATTGACACCTACGTGGGCGCCTGAACTCATGTTTAATAGCCGCGCGGGCCTACGCACGGAGTATGTTGTTGACGCCTGCCTACGCGGACCTACATGGCAAGCCCTGGAACAAAGCGCGAACACATGGTTTTTGTGCCTTAACACTAGACCCTAATCCTAAAACCTAAGCCCGAAGATTATCTGCCCAACTCTGCTCGATTTCTTGCTCAACCCTGTCCGATTTCCTTCCCAAATTTCCCCTAAGCCCTACATCCTAAGCCTTAAGCCCTGCCCGATTTGTGATGTTGACGGATGGGCTACGACGTTGAGAACGACACCTACGCCTACGCGCGGGCTACGCGGAGCCTAGGCCGCGTCTACGCGGAATTTATGTTTAAAGGTATTATTTATGATTTATATGGATGTATGTATGTATGTATGCATGTATGTATGTATGTACGTATGCATGCATATATGCATGTATCTATCTATATACATATACATATATATATATATATATGTATAACTTTTGACGACATATACATTCTCTCTCTCTATATATATATACATATATATATACATATATATATATATATACATAATTGTATATGATTATATATATGTATACATCATACTGTACACCGACAACCTACGCAGACCTACGCAGACATACTGCGTAGACTTGCCTACGCGGACCTTACGCAGACCTACGCGCTGCAGGCAAAATGCTACGCCGCCGATTCCCATAATCGCGTCTCTATGTGGCTTTGCATGTGGGAAAAACACACTGCTCAGCTGAGGAAACCTCCTTGGATTATGTCTAGGATGACCCTTAGCACCCTCTGAACAGATTCCTAAATATGACCCTCTTGAACTCGATAGGGGAAAATATTTAGCAATATCCCAAGGGCGTACCAGGACCAGGAGTCCTAGTAGTGATGTTTAAGCCCTAAGCCCTAAACCCTAAACCCTAAACCCTAAACCCTAAACAGGAGTACTCCCTACCGAAGGGGCATTCGGAGTACCAGGAGATTCTGAGGGCCGAGCAGGCTGCTTTGGAAGCCATACACCATGATGGCAGGACCTTGGCTTCTGTTCTTCAGCTTAAGGTCCCTAGGGTTTAGGGTTAGGGTTTAGGGTTTAGGGTTTAGGGTTTAGGGTTTAGGGTTTAGGGTTTAGGGTTAAGGGTTAAGGGTTAAGGGTTAAGGGTTTAGGGTTTAGGGTTTAGGGTTTAGAGTTTATAGGGCTTAGGGTTTAGGGTTTGGGGGGGGCAATGACAAGGAACCCTCCTACGAAAGTTCAGACTACTTACCCCATAAACCCTAAAACCCCCCAAACCCCCCGCAACCCTGTTAAGGTGGTTCGTGTTGACAAGTCACCACACACTGCCAGGATGGCGATGTACCAGTCCCGCAACCTGCACGAGCTGCTTCGGTCGATGCGCTTCGCAGAGCAGGGTTTACCTGGGCCTCTTTGTACCTACAATTTAGTCGTCATCACCCTTAGTTAGTATAGGTATAACTAGTTTAGTAATTACCCTTAGCTGGTAGGTACAATCTACAGCTTGGTACTAGTTATCCTTAGTTAGTAGGTATAACGCATATAAACTGTAGGTAAAGAGGGTCCCAGGTATATAGGGTTTAGGGTTCAGGGTTTTGAGCAATGGCGCGCATGGTAAAGCAGCACCATGATGCATGATGAATCCTATGGTGCTGAGCTTGCGGAGCGGGACTACTCTAATGCCATTGATATCACAGTCATGCCAGGTTTAGGCTTTAGGGTTTAGGGTTCAGGGTTTCGGGTTGAGGATTTCGTGGTCCCCCGCTCCGACCTGCAAAAGGCCGTCGAAGCAAGTGGCGGCAGGAGAAGTGCCAGAGGCAGGTACGCGTACCTCGCCAAGCAGATCCCCCGATTCCCGGGATCACTCCTTGCATCGACTGGGTTTAGGGTTTAGGGTCTTTAGGGTTTCTAGGGTTTAGGGTTTCTAGGGTTTTTAGGGTTTAGGGTGTAGGGTGTAGGATCGAGGGTTTAAGGTTTAGGCCTTAGGGTTTATGGTGGCACCTGTCCGCATACCACACGGGATCTCCGTGGTGTACCAGGAGCCTTGCGGCAGGCGCCAGTCTTGCAGCGGAGGCGCAGAATCCGATCTACTCGTGCCAGGGATTTCCCAAAATAGGGGGGTATAGAATCCCAGGTACAGATCAGTCAGTCTCGCATTCGCTACCCCTAAACCCTAAACCCTAAACCCTGAACCCTAAACCCTAAACCCTAAACGCTACACCCTAAACCAGTCAGTAAGTCTCCCGCTGAAGGCAAGGAGACAGGACCGCCAGGTAGCTGAGCCAGGCTGCCGCAGCACAGGGGAGGAAGGAGCCGTTGGAAGCCTCAGTCTAGGTGAAAGTTTTGAAAGCTCTCTGGGTGGGGGTTTAGGGTTTAGGGTTTTGGGATCAGGGTTTAAGGTTCAGGGTTTAGAGTTTAGGGTTCAGGGTTCCGGGTTTAGTTTAGGGTTTCGGGTTTAGGGTTACTATTATACACAACTAACAACTATTGCTGTTCGGCATATTAGTGCTTGATGACGACTCTTACTCCGACAGCCATTGCTATAAGTAATGCTCAGAGAACTATGCTTCGTGCTAGTCCTTCAGCCCCTACACCCTCAACCTCAAACCCCAACCCTAAACCCTAAACCCTCAAGCCCCCTGTAACTTGAAATCACGCAAAAAGTTTAAAATCCAAGCTCCCCGAAACTTTCCTCGAAACTTTCCCCGGACCTGAACCCTGAATAAATTCAATAAACCCTAAACCCCAAACCCAAACCCCAAACCCCAAACCCCAAACCCCAAACCCCAAACCCCAAACCCCAAACCCCAAACCCTAAACCCTAAACCCTAAACCCTAAACCCTAAACCCTAAACCCCAACCCGCACTAAGCAGCCTCCCTGGGCTTCTCGAACTGGGCGCCCCGCTTCCCAGATGAACCTCACAGTTTGGGGGTTTAGGGCTTCTGGGGTCTAGGGCTTGGGGTTTAGGGCTAGGGTTTAGGGTTTAGGGTTCAGGGTTCAGGGTTCAGGGTTTAGGGTTTAGGGTTTAGGGTTTAGGGTTTAGGGTTTAGGGTTTAGGGTTTAGGGTTTAGGGTTTAGGGTTTAGGGTTTAGGGCTTCGGGGGTTTCAGGGGTTGGGGCTTCGGGTGTTAGGGGCTGGGGGATAATACCGTCGTGCAGGGCATGTGGTTCCAATTTGAGAGCTTCGCCCTAAACCCTAAACCCTAAACCCTAAACCCTAAACCCTAAACCCTAAACCCTAAACCCTAAGGCAGAGGACCCGGAGCTCCCGAAACAGAACCAACCTTGGGGATCAAATGAACCCTGAAATTGGGGTCATACACCATCTACTACAAGAATCCCTTTTGAGGTCTATGAACCATAAGCCCTTTTAGAGACCATCTGGTCCCCTAGCAAGGTCTGCGTTCTCACTGCCATCACCTGCCGTCTCTGACCCAGAGACTCCAAAACTCCTTTATTAAGGAATATACCTTAAATCATACTAGAGTTCTGATTAGACTTTAAGGGATATTCCCTAATTAAGGGGGTTTGGAGTCTCTGGGGACAGCTGCAGCTAGGGAGCAGCACGCAGAGCGAAAGGAAGGTGAGCGCCACGATGGCCATCAGGGCCTCAAGAAGTGCAAGGTGCAGGGCTGGCCCTAAACCCTAAACCCTAAACCCTAAACCCTAAGCCCTAAGCCCTAAACCCTAAACCCTAAACCCTAAAACCCTAAACCCTAAACTTTAAACCCTGACCCTAAACCCTAAACCCTAAACCCTAAACCCTAAACCCTAAAGCCCCTAAAGCCCCTAGAGCAACTGACTGAGGTCTCCACGACCCATCCGCCCTGCCTTTGCGTTGAAGTCAGACCATCCAGCGCCTCCAGCCAAGTATCTCAGAGGTTAGAGAAGGTGAAGGAGTTTAGGGTTTAGGGTTTAGGGTGAGTGGGTTTTGGGTTTTGGGTTTTTGTTTTGGGTTTTGGGGTTTAGGGTTTGGGGTGAAGGAGTTTAGGGTTCAGGGCCTACTTGGAGGTTCAGGGTACTTACTGACCCAATAATAACTGAACTTGCAACCCAATCATATCCCTTTCTTAGGTCACTTTAGGGGCTTATAACTGAGTTGTCAGGTACAGTTATAACTGGTTATATTAAGTACCATGAACCTCCAACTAGGGTTCAGGGAGATGGGAGTTTCAGAGACAAAGAGCTTGGGATTCCTTAGTAGAGGCAGTTAGGGCTTGGGGCGGCTTAGGGATTGTGAAAGGTTTTGGGGCTCAACAGAGGTTTAGCCATGACGGCTTATGCCGATTTATAAGGTTTAGGGTTTAGGGTTTAGGGTTTCGGGTTTCACATGATGGACTGCTAGGAATCAGGCAGCTACTGATGAAGTGGAGCCGGCACTGGAATAAGGCGACGGCGACAGGGCAAAAAGGAACCACTTCTCTGCCTGGCAAAGTTCGCGAAAGGTTAATGTAGGGGTCGGAATAATTGCTAACAATATTCCCTTATGGCCCCTTTGTAATTATACGATAATAACCCCCAAAACCTTATTCTAAATATTTAGGCCCCCACAGTTACGTGGCCATACCAGACCGAGCTATCGTCGACCAAGGTCCTACCTTGGGGACCAATGTACCCTGAAATTGGGGTCATATGTCCTATACTACTCTAATCTCTATTGAGGTATATGAAGCATGGCATAAACCCTTCTAGGGTTCATTTGGTCCCCAAGGTATTGAAAACCTACGAAGGTCTCGTGCAGTCCTTCCATCTTCTAACACTCACCTTGTTCATTGTTGGGATAACATAAAAAAAAAACTGTTATTCCTTATTGGGTTTAAGTACCCTTAGAAATGTAAAATGCTATCCAACTATGACAAAGTCATCCTGGCGAGCCCTAGCCAAGCAGTCGATGCGGAGGATGCTGGTGAACAAACGCGACGAAGGATGACCAGCTACATCTACCTTAATTAAAGTGACCTTGTAAGTGAAATATGTACCCCATCCTAGTAAATCCTTGCTAACCCTAAACCCTAAACCCTAAACCCTAAACCCTAAACCCAAACCCTAAACCCTAAACCCTAAACCTTAAACCCTAAACCCTAAAGCCTAAACCCTTTTCGGGGGGTTCCTTTCGGCCCCCAAGGCACATGCCAGCAGCTTTGCCTGGGACAATCAGATGCTGAATGTACGCAAAGACGGAGACGCAGGCCCGCAGCACCTTGGGGTTTAGGGTTTAGGGTTTAGGGTTTAGGGTTTAGGGTTTAGGGTTTAGGGTTTAGGGTTTAGGGTTTAGGGATCCTGAAACTCTTGAGGAGCTCTGCGAGATGTCAAAGTGAACAAAACCTCAAAGGCACCCTCTAGTGGCTCCCCCCCCCACCCCCCAAACATCTTGGGGACGAAACGAACCCCAAAATGGGGCTTAGGGTCCATGTGGCCTTAGCAGGGATTGTGGCAGAATGGCGTACTTGGTAGCCCAGTAACCATATTACAATGAGGGCACCCTGTTTTGGGCTGGATATTTATTATAAGGGAACCCATAACCAAAAAAAGGGTTAAGGGGTACCACTGGGCTAGCAAGTGTATACGATGACCATTATTGAGGTTCCTCTCGTCCCCGAAGGCAGCTAAGCGTCGTGACGTTGTCTGTCAGATCCAGCTCCACGACCTCTGGCTCGGGGGTGAGGTTCTAGCGGAGCCAGGATGGGCTATTATACCCTATAACATTCTTAAACCCTAAACCCTAAACCCTAAATCTTAAACCCTAAACCCTAAATCCTAAACCCTAAACCCTGAGAAGGACCCTTTACAGGGTTGATTCTGGGGATTATAAGGGCCTACTAGCCCATCCGGCGTAGAAAGCCGCAATGCTGAGTTCACGGACAGAGGCTTGCAGCTGGCCGGCACTGTCGCCTGCCCAAGGAGGATGTGTTTCGTAGACAAGGGTTTAGGGTTTAGGGTTTAGGGCTTAGTGTTTAGGGGGAGTTTTTGGATGCTTTGACCCGTCCCCCGACCCTGGGCGGTGTGTTAGATCTGCATACTTTTGGACCGGGGTAGCCCGCAGAGGTGTGTCATGGAGGTTCTACGTCAACTCAGTGGTTACCCAAGCGACTTCAAAGGGACACAGTGACGCCCAAAGGTGTTCTGAGTCTGATGCTCCGGGATGCCAGTCTTCTTTTGATGCCGGCTTACGAAGCCTTCCCTCCCCAAAACAAAGCGCCGCGAGCTTCGGAGTTCAGGGTTTAGGGTTTAGGGCTTAGGGCTTAGGGTTTAGGGTTAGGGTTTAGGGTTTAGGGCATGGTTTTTGGTTCAGGAAACTTGCCATAACACCGGAGGCTCTGACCGCAACCGCTATGCCACTCTACCCAGCTCCCGCGCCTGAACCCTAAACCCTAAACCCTAAACCCTAAACCCGAAACCCGAAACCCGAAACCCTAAACCCTAGCGCCTGTCGCTTGAAAGGCCAAGTACAGGGCCACAGCAAAGAGCGGCCAGAGGAAAATGTCCTCGGCGATGGACTTGAGGGGTTTGAGGTGCTTGAGTGCTAGGACGACTCGATGTACAAACCCTAAACTTGGGATGTTCCCCCTTATGCTAACAGTCCTTAAAAGGGACTATCAGGGGGGGGGGGGGGGGTCCTATAATTCCCAAGTAAAGACTGTTGGTATAAGGGGGAACATCCCAACCCTAAACCTTTAAACCCAAGATGCCGACAGCTTTAAACCCCTCAACCCTGAACCCTAAACCCTAAGCCCCAAAATGAAGCTGAACCCTGGACCATAGGGCCGGTACCGGCATCAATGATCTCGGTGTGCAGGGAAACCTCTTCGCCACCTGCCCACTTGGAGGATTGGGGTTTAGGGTTTAGGGTTTAGGGTTGTTAGGACATTTGTAGCAGGGTTTCAGGGTTATAGCTTGGGATGTTCCCCTATACTAACAGTCCCTTAATCGGGGTTGTTCTAGGGGGTACTACAACCCTCAACAAGAGCTGCTGGTATTTATAAGGGGGAACATCCCAAGTCGTAGCGTTTCAAAGGCTTCGCAGAGATGAGCTCAGGGTTGAAACGTGTTTGGCTGTGGGGCTTATGCCCCACAGGGTTTGGGGTTTAGGGTTTAGGGTTATGGTTTGTAGGGGTGGGAGGGCTCTGTAGACGTTTTAGCTGGAGTGAAATTTAGAGCAACTTCTGGGGGTGGGGTAAGGGGGGGGGGGGGGGGGGCGTGATTCAGGGACTGGGGTCCGAAATGCTTGACCCCAAGCCCTGCCTCAGGGCTTCGGCAACGTGTCTTTAGGACGAAGACAGGAACTGTACAAATCAGACGTGTCCCGGACTCAGCCCTAAACCCTAAACCCTCAATCTTTTGGGGGCGCGATTAGGCGTCAACTAGACATCCGTCCGGGATGAACTACTACAGGGGTTGTGTAATCAACCTAACCTTCAGGCACATGTCCTTTAACCAACTAACGAACCACAACAAAGTTTAGGGATGTTTAGGGTATTGCCCTTGATGGCCGAGGATGGCCTTTACTTTACAATCCCTTGAAACAATTCCTGGATGTGACCCTCTTAAACACAACAAGTGGAGATGTAAACATGCCCCCGGCCTACCTAGAATAGCTCAAGGTATATTGGGGGGGGGGGGGGGGGAGGGTTCCGAAATAAGGGGTGGGGGGGGGGGGGGGTCCGAAATTAGGGGGCGCCTTATTGGGGGGGTCATCTTATTTTAAGGCAATCCGACTAGGCGGGGGTTCACAGTCCCAGACCCTAAACCCCAAACCCCAAACCCCAAACCCTAAACCCTCATGGAGGAGTCTTGGACTTTCTGGGTCATGACTACCCGCCTCGGCAGAGGCGGAGGACCTCCATGACACCTAAAGCGCAGTGAGCTGGGGGAGGTCGAGATTCCCTAAACCCTAAACCCTAAACCCTAAACCCTAAACCCTAAACCCTAAACCCTAAACCCTAAACCCTAAACAGGGTGCTCGAAGACCTAAAGCCCTGAACGTTAAGAACCCTACACCCTCAAATGCACATAAACCCTAAAACCTTTCAAAACTACAAATCATGAAACCTACAAAAGCCCTAAACCCTCTACAGCCTTGTGTAAAAATAATCCCGAATATGATCCTCTTAAACCAATGGGTGACAAACAAGAACCCTAAACCCTAAACCCTGAACCCTGAACCCTAAACTCTGAACCCTAAACCCTACACCCTAAATCCTAAATCCTAAACCCTAAACCCGAAACCCTAAATCCTAAACCCTACCCAGACTGCTCAGTGGAGGGCTCGGTGGATCAAGAGGGCGGCTGGCAGCATGAGCGCGGCGGCCTATCGATGTCATCTGCCGGTTCTCTGGTTTGGGGCTTCTATGCCTGGGCTGGTTTAGGGTTTAGGGTTTAGGGTTTAGGGTTTAGGGTTTAGGGTTTACGGTTGAGGGTTCAGGTTTAGGGTTTAGGGTCAACGAGGGGCTGTCGGAATTGGACCGAGGAAGTGCCTTGCACATGACGGCCGCGAAGTAGAAGATCCCTGACCTAAGAGACGGCTCACGGGCATTGCATGAGAGGTTCAAGAATGAGCTCAAAAGTATAAACAAACAAATAAACAAATTAAGATGTAACATATATATATATATATATCTATATATACATCTATTTATTTATTTTGGTTTGGGGGGGGGTGGTATATTGTGTGGGCCCTCTGTTCGGGGAGATGCCCAAATAACCCAAGATTCTTGTGAGGCTATCGACGCTCTGAGCCATGGAGCCCAGCAAGATGGGGGCCCGGCAACATGCCCAGTGCCACGGTCCGCGTGCACTGCTCTGGCTCGTCATGTAGGCAGCGGACCTGTGCAAAAGGATAGTGCCGCTGGTCTTCTCTATGCGCCGAACTCTCATGACTAAGGCACAGGCACAACCAACATAAACGCAGACAGAAAGCCAAGACCTCTCTGCGTCTCTGTGCTACCCGGCGGCACAGCCAGTGCCAAACAGGGAGGTCATGATGCTCAGACTTTAGTCGTCAACGCCACAACATACACCTTGGCTTATGGTAAGCACCATGCAAGGAAGCCGCCCACAGGTACGGCAGGCACGAGGACCAACCTCCGAAAGACAAGGCTGACAAGGCTCCAATTTTTGGGGTTTGGTTACAGTTATAAAGGGACCTAGAACGAAAAGAAAGGGCAACACGGTACCACAAACCTGCCAAGAGCAACTGCTAGCAGCTGCCAGAGCCCCGCAGTGGGCTCCCTTAAACCCCAAACCCTAAACCCCAAACCCCAAACCCTAAACCCTAAACCTAAACCCTAAACCCTAAACCCTAAAGTGGGCTCCCGGCACACCGCTTGAACACAAAGCGGGTGGACTGCGAAGAGGGCGGTGCCAAGCACGCCTGGCAACGCTGCAGTGTAACCAAAGGACCCAAGTCTCAGCTTTAAAGGCTTCTAGGGTTTAGGGTTTAGGGTTTAGGGTTCAGGGTTTAGGGTTTAGGGACCGCAAGATAAATTTGCGGATGTCTGCGGAATCTGTGCATATCAGAAGACCTTGGGCTCACTGGGGGGGAAGAAGTTGCGAGCACGCAGGGTGCGTTCAAAAACCTGGATACTCTCGCACTGAACTGCACCCTAACCCCTAAACGCTAAACCCTAACCCTCAACCCTCAACCCTAAACCCTAACCCTAAACCCACTCGCCGGCTTTGCAAGAAGCGGTCTGCCATCGCACCGTCGTTGAGGCCTCGATGCTTCATGCCGCGCAGGCGTTCCACCCAGAACCCAAAGCCAAAAAGGGAGGTTTAGGGTTTAGGGTTTAGGGGTACCTTCTTCGGGGTCCTTTTCATAAGGGACTCCTACTATTTGGGGTCTATATTTTAAGGGTCCCCTATTTTCGTAAACCCTCTAAACACTACAGTAAACTCAGTAAACTTCAAAAAAGTTGGAACATCCTTGTCCCCGTACCCCACATGGTATACTAAAGGGAACCCCAGCTCCAATCATCCTAAAACCATGTTCCAACTCTTCTGGAGTTCGCTGTATTTCCCTAAACCCTAAACCCTAAACCCTAAACCCTAAACCCTAAACCCAGGTAGCAATCATGCACTGCCGAGGCGTCGTCCTGGCTGATTCGTTGCAGCTGCGAGCCTCACAAGGAAACTAACACGATGAGGTCGGAGGGCGCGGTCTGGGTTTGGGGTCTGGGGCTCAAGGTTTGGGGTTTGGGGCTCAAGGTTTGGGGTTTGGGGTTTAGGGTTTGGGGTGTAGGATTTGGGGTGTAGGATTTGGGGTGCAGGGTTTGGGGTGGAGAGTTGAGGGTCTCTTTTCAAGAGTCTTCCTTCCATGAGCGGTTTCTGGGCTTTCAGGCTTCAGGGTTCTGGGTTTCCATCTTCCTGCTTTCAACTGTTTAGGGTTTAGGGTCTAGGGTTTAGGGTTTAGTACAGTGGACGTGATGAGGACCCTGATTCAGATTCGCCTCCAGGTGCACCAAAGACGACTTCCTAACCCCTAAAACCTAAACCCTAAACCCTAAACCCTACACCCGAAACCAAAAACCTTAAACCCTAAACCCGAAACACTAAACCCTAAACCCTAAATCCTAAACCCTAAAACCTAAACCCCCAAACAGCCCCTGGGCGCAGGGCTGCCAGCAAAAGCCATTGCTGCGCAAAGCGCGTGGGACAGCAGCGAAAGCCTCGGGCCAAGCCCAAACCCGAAGGTTTAAGGTTTAGGATTTAGGGTTTTAGGGTTTTAGGGAAAAGGGTTTAAGGGTTTAGGGTTTCGGGTTCAGGGTTTGGGGTTTAATTCGAGTTTGGGGGTCAGGTAGGTTTGCACCCTGTCAGCCCTGAGCCTACCTAAATTTTGTTTGAAACGGTCGAGAACCCTTGAAGCTTGAAACCCTTAAGCACCTGAGCCCTTAAACCCTTAAACCCCTAAGCCTGGAACCCTTTAAACCCCTAAACCCTAAACCCTAAACCCTAAACCCTAAACCCTAAAACTCAACACCGCCTAAGGTGGAGAAGCGAGACTGGGATGGCCTGTGGAGGTTGCTCGGCTGAAGCCCGCCAAGAAGGTCGGACGCACTGGCCTGGAGCAAGCAGACAAAGGGTTCCGATGGATTTAGGGTTTAGGGTTTAGGGTTTCAGGGTTTCAGGGTTTCAGGGTTTCAGGGTTTCAGGGTTTCAGGGTTTCAGGGTTTAGGGTCGAAATCATCAGACTCGAAATGTTCGAGGGAATAGGCGGGTGGACGCTATTTCTAGCTTGCGGAACGGGACATGTGAGCACGTGTCTCACCAACTTTCTGAGATTATCCAGAACAGGCTTTCTTTCAGCGCGGGGGAGAGGGGGGGGGCGGGGGACCGAAAGCAAGTTGCTTCCCTCATATAGGCATTGCTTCACCAAATACCCTCATAAATCGATGGAATCCTCGAAAGGGCTTGAAGGAGAGAATTTACACGTCCTCATAAGAAATTTCTTATTAAGGCCTGTCTCTTATAACAAATGTAAAGCTCGGACCTTTGTCTCTATGCTTTGGAGTCTTTTTTCGCAGACATTTCATCTTCCCAGCATCCACATAAGTCAACAGAATCGCATCTGGATTTGTGAGTCTTGGTGGTATTGGTTTGAAGATGAGCCCTGTGAATTTGTCCTCGATGCATTGGTTCAGGTACAAAGCCACGCACAAGCACCACAAGTAGGGTTTAAAAAGCGCGGGGCCCGCCTCAAGTAGTAGAAGGAGGCACCCCTAGAAGGGACCCTTCATCATAACCCACGTTGCTACCTTATATAGTCCCTACATACCAAAGTAGACCCCAAATCAGCCCTAAATAACCCGCAAGGTCCCCCATAAAGGTCCCCCTTTGTTACCTTGACCGCCGGCGTTCGACTCCTAAACCCTAAGCCTAATCCCTAAACCCGAAACCCTAAACCCTAAACCCTAAACTCAAAACCCTAAACCCTAAACCCCGTGGCAAGCTGAGGTGACGGCTTTGAGTGCGAGAGAAACCGGCTCGTACACCTTGAGCACATTGGCCTGGGACGCCCCAAAAACGCACCAAACGCCAGGTTTTGGGTTTTAGGGTTTCGGGGTTTAGGGTCTAGGGTTTTAGGATTTCGGGGGTTGAGGGCCTGGATCCAGAAAGCTGAGCTCTAAACAAAAAACCCTGAACCCTGAACTAACGGAATCAAAGCCCCCCGAACCCGCAATCTTATCCTCAAGCCTTTGAAGCATCAGCTCGACACTGAAGCCCTAAACCCGACCGTTTAGGGTTTAGGGTTTAGGGTTTAGGGTTTAGGGTTTAGGGTTTAGGGTTTAGGGTTTAGGGTTTAGGGTTTAGGGGACCCCCTTGCCCACAGAACGCCCTGAAAGCCCACGCACTGCCAGACCCTAAATCCCAAACCCTGAACCCTAAGCCGACTTCGGAGACATCCCCGTGAGCAGTCCGGGTGCGCAGCTCGATACCACCAGGCTGCGTTCTCCCAAGACCTGGGGTTTAGGGTTTAGGGTTTAGGGTTTAGGATTTAGGGCCAAGGCTCCTCCTAAAGCCCCCTATAGCCCTAAACTCCTAAGCCCTAAAACCTTTCCTTAAAGCCCTTAAACCCCTAAACCCCGAAACAGCCATAAAGCCCCGAATCCCTTAAACCCCTAAACCCCTAAACCTATACCCCCCAAGTGTTTGATATTCCCTTGGGCGTTTATGTAAATGAAAATAACACAAGATTCCGCTATTGAGGGGGATAGGAACCCCCCTGAAACCCCAACCGACATGCGGCCACAGGGTCCCTAAACCTTAGAAACCCTTAAGCCCTAAACCCTAAACCCCTTAAACCCTTAAACCCTCAGGGTCCCTTCACCCTAAGCCCTAAACCCTAAACCTCAAACCTTAAACCCTAAACCCTAAAACCCTAAACCCTTAAACCCTTAAACCCTAAACCTAAACCCCAAACCCTAAACCCTTTAACCTCGAACCTTAAACCCTAGACCCTTAAACCTTAAACCCCAAACCCTGAATCCCCTAAACCCTATACCCCAAAGAACATGCAGCCTCAGGGTCTCACCAATGGAGGCGGCCGCGCACCGCCTCTCCGTAGTTCTCCGTGTCATCCCACACATACTCCTGGCCCGAATCGCTGAAACCCCAGTTTAGGGTTTAGGGCTTAGGGTTTAGGGTTTGAGGTCTACGCACCGGATACGGAACAGGGAAACTTTCGAACATTCAAAAGCGCAAGCTTCGGGGGAGCAGGACGAACACCTAAAGCCTCAAGCACCCCAAGAACCTAATTAAACCCTAAACCCTAAAAACCTAAAACCCTAAAACCCTAAAACCGTAAAACCCTAAACCCTAAACACTAATACCCTAAACCCTAAACCCTAAACCCTAAACCCTAAACCCTAAACCCTAAACCCTAAACCCTAAACCCTAAACCCTAAACCCTAAGAAGCAGGCCAAGGGGTGCCCAGGATCCAACTGTGTTGGACCAGAAGGGGACCAGGGCCAGGGCGAACACTGCAGCGGCACCTCGAGACCCCCAAGTGGGAGTACATTAAACACTGGGGTTTAGGGTTTAGGGTTTAGGGTCTAGGGTCTAGGGTTTAGGGTTTAGGGTTTATGGTATAGGGTTTAGGGTTTCGGGGGTTTAGGGGGTTTAGGGGTTTTAAGGGTTTAGGGGCTTTATGGTTTTCGGGATTAAGGGTTCAAGGGCTTTATGGGGTTTAGGGTAGAGGAGTTTGGGGGTTCAAGGGTTTAGGGTTTAGGGTTTGGGGTTTTAGGGGGCTTTAGGATGTTTGAGGGGTTGAAGGGTTTAAGGGCTTTTGAGACCCTCAGAGCCCGAAGGCCCTCAAGAGCCTGAAGCCCCCCACAAAGCCCTAAGCCCTAAACCCGCCCAGAACCCAGGAGGTTTAGGGGTTAGGGTTTAGGGTTTAGGGTTTAGGGGAAGTTTAGGGTTTAGGGTGGAGTTTAAGGGATTTTGTGGCGGGACTGAAGTGGGGGATATTTGAGGTTCAGGGGCCAGATCCTCCCGAAGTAGGGTTTAGGGTTTAGGGTTTAGGGTTTAGGGTTTAGGGTTTAGGGTTTAGGGCCTTCAGAGGAGTAGGCCTTTGTTAGGGTTCAGGATTTTGGGCTTTGGGGTTGAAAGTTTTGTAGGGAATTCATAGGTTGTGGGCGCTAGGGTTAGTGGCTTTTAGGGGCCTAGACCCCACGGGGAAAGGTTTGTAGGGTAGTCATCGGCTTTGAACGTTAGAGTTAGAGGCTCACAGGGGCCTAAGCCCGAAAAAACCCGAATATAAAAAACAAAAAAACTGACAAACCCTAACAACCCCAAACACCCTGAAAGCCATCGAATGCTTACAATCCGAATCAACCAAAACCCTAGAAGCCTAGAAGCCCTGCACAAAACCCTGTAAGCCTCAATCCAATCCTGAAATGAAGTGGCTTTTTAAGGTTCAACGACAGCTGCTCTGCCGGGCTGGGCACCGCCGACGTCGGCAACCAGCTGGAGCCAAACCTGAAGCCATGCGAATCCGTGCATGTATAAGTACATATATGGGTAGTTCTCCAAATTACGGTCCCTTTTTGGGATGCCTTTTCAAAGGGTGCCGCCTTATAATGGGTACCCGACAAAGGGGCACTGATCTAGGAAACTACCCATATGCCTGCCTGCCGGCCTGCCGGCCTGCCGGCCTGCCTCTCTCTGTGTCTGGCTGCCTGTATGTCTGCATGCCCGTCTG